GTAGCCCCCCCACACCCCTCCCAAGCATGTGCACACAAGGCCGTGTATAGGATAAGGCAGTGCAGGTCTACCATATGTTAGCAGGACACGTGGCCATGGTGCAGGTGGCGAGGGCAGTGCCCGTCCTCCCTGGTGCCAGCACGGTCTGACCTCTGTGTGATATTGGATTTCTGCATCAGCATTTACATTCCAGCAGTGTGCTCCTGTCTGCAGGGTGTGCCCAGTGCTATATAATGGCACACGTACCAGGCATGCCTTGTGGGCAGTCATGGGCCCCCCTTCCTGGGAAGTCCTGGCCGCTGGGCATTCTTGGCATGCTCAGATTGCTGGTAACTTGCCGCTGCCCCCCGAGTTTGTTAGCTTACTTTACCCCAGCAGGCACCTGGCATCATGCAGGGCTGACCCTCTTATCCTGAACTCCAGGCAATTATAGAAGAAAGACATATTAAAGTGTATGCATAGCCATACACTTTGTATCGGACAGGGAAGGGTTAAATCACTTTGTTTCTGCTATCTGTGTCCCATTGGTGAGATTTCCCTTTACTTCCTGTCTTGGAGACGCAACAGGAACTGATAATGATCTCTGGGACAGGTAGAGCGGGTTAACCTCCCCAGTGGGGGCACGGACAGCATTTAACACCTGACTGAGAGTCAAACCCTTCCATACTCCATATAAATGAAGTAGCAGAAGGAGCCAATCAGTTATACTGCAGTGCTAACAATGATGATAGGAGGAGAGAGCTCATCAGTCTTTTGCTTCTCCTTGCACTGTCCAATCACAGGCTGGGGGGTGGGACATGACTTGTAAGTGTTACTGGACTGCAGCAGAGAAAAATCAGATCTCCTCTCCTGCCAGTGTGACAGAGCCACGTTCTCATTAATCTACACTGAGTACCTCATAATGACAAAGTCAGAGAATTCTCTCCAAACTGCCGCTGACCGCTGCGATGCAAGTCAGCGCTCAGCACTGCTAACTTTGCACTCGTAGTGAATGTGGATGCAGAGCGCTGAGTGTGACGGGGAAGATGGGGACAGAGCACCGGTGGCCATTTTAACTGTGGGCAGACCTGGCAGTGCTGTAGAAAGGTGCCTGAACCTCAATTAAGGAAATCAATTCAGTGCGGGAACCTACAATTTAATGTTTTGGTGGACAAGCACACAAAATATTTGCTGTAAAATGGTACCTATTGGTCAAAAATATTATCCTCCGCCATTTTGTTTGGCTCTGCAGCCAAAGCGTTCAGTGAAGTTGCTGCAGTGAACTGAAGTGCTGCAGAACAGCTACTCAGCGCTTGGCTAAGGAACTGAGCACGCCTCCGGTGTACCAACGCGCTGGCTTTGCTCGGACTGCTCTCCTGGTGTTAGGACATAAGCTGAAGTACGACTCGGCGGACGGCTTTTGTTCTGGAGAAGGAGAATTCCTTCGATTTTTGTGTCTTTGATGGTCGATCGGTTGCGTCACATCCGAAGTGTGAGGATCCGCTTTATAGGTTGCTTTGCTTGATCCTCCCGCTAGTAAAAATCCAATCGCTGCCAGATGTCGCATTCAGAACATATCGGCAGCATCCATTTTGTGGGTGGAGCCCAATGCCTACCGGGATTCATAATCAAAATTCCTATAACAATGCCTGATGAGGATGTATAATGAGGTCGCTCTGTGATCCGCACGTGTTGGGTCACGTGACCACGCTGATCAGGTGTCACACTCGAGCTTTGCGCTTATGCAGAACGGAGAGCGTCTTCTGCCAAATCTTTTGTCTTCAGCGACGGGAGAAATATTGACCTCCCTCTCCAAATATTTGCAGACGCCGACACTAAATCTCCTCGGTGATGCGCTTGTCGTTTGTTACCAAGTTTCTTGGCGCGTTTGCAAATTTGATTATGGCGTATCCAAACCGAAGAACAGAAATGTTTTATATGACATCTCACCAGTCCTTAAATGTGGTGGCTGCATTAGTTTTCTTTTCTATTTCCTTTGGGGCTTGTTCACACCAAATCCAGTTGCATGCGCTATCTTTTGCGATCGCACTGCGGGCATTGCTTTGCCATACATACTGCTGTGGGCGAATGCACTGTGGGGCGGGAGGCATGGCTGTCATGCCATCGACTTGAATGCACCACGCCCCAGAAGGCAGGAAGGCTTGCTGTGTGCATTCCAGCCACTAACCGTGCTGGAACGCCTTGGATTTGGTGTTAACAAGCCCTTATTGTCACCTGGGGAAACACAGAGCTCTGGTGATGACATCACTGTGTCTCAAATAGGTATGTCATGAAAACAGGTTTTATGGAATCAGCATGTTGATGAAGGGGGGAGGGTAGAGGGGGACCAGCAAAGGTAAAACATACTGTAGGTGGATTAAATCGGGATCCGCTTCAGCTGCGGCGTCTCGGTATACCGCGAGCTCGCGGTATACTGAGCCTAGGGTGACGGGAGGACGCTAGTTTGTGTCCTCCCGTTATCCTAAGGAGAACTATGGGGAAAAGCCCTGACCCCATAGTTCTCCTTTTTAAACTTCAGCTTCAAGGCACTTTAAAGTGTATGTGAGAGTGGGGAAGGGTTAGACTGCGGCAACATTTGTATAGCTGCCTGTCATCCTCTCTTTGTGTCTTGGTGATCCTTGTCAATGGGACCGTAAGCCAAGGAAAATGTCATCAGAACAGGCATTAAGGGGAAATGGGGACACTGGTTCCAGCAATAGTTTATACAAGGAGATTTCCCTGACTTTGGAGCAATCTCCTCTTAGGGCTAGTTCACACCAAGCGCGTTCCAGGAGCAGAGCAGTTGCAAACTGGATCAAAACTGCGTCCAATGTATTCCAATGGTATTTTGGGCTCTAGTTCACACCGCAGCGTTCAGTTTCAGAGCATGTAAAAAAAACTGCAACAAGCCCTATTTTACCTGCTCTGGAACGCAAACAAACACCCTGGAACGCACTGCAAGCCCGTTTTAAAAGTTTCTTTTTTACTTCCACCGCTCCAAGCTTGCTCCTTTCAATACAAACTAGTGGTCCATCACTGGAGCCATTTTTTAAAATGTATTTGATTGTTTATCCGATTAACCGATTAATCGAACTTAATAATCGGCTAACTAATCGATTTTGAAAATAATCGTTGGCTGCAGCTCTAGAATAAATAAATGTTAATTTTATTTTTTTAACCAAAAACGGCCCGGAACACATCAAAAACGGGGCAAAAAACACAGTATAACGCACTACGTGTGCAGAAACTCTTGCAGATCTGGTCTGCATTTGGTGTGAACAAGCCCTTATTTCCTGTTCTGTCTCTGCAATAGGAAGTAAAGGGAATTCTCCCCGGAAGGGACACAAAGAAAAAAACTGATGGGGTATTAACCATTCGCTACATTATCTAAAACCAAATACAGCTTTAGCATTTTCCACACAGGCCATTGTTTTCAGTGAGGAAATGTCAAACGCTGTCTCAGTAAAGCGGAGTTTCAGGAATTGTGGCTGATGGAGACCCCAAGAGGTGACTGAGCACCTTGCGGTCCATGGGGCAAATTAAATCCGCCCAGCACTGTGTACCCGCTCTTTATTAGATTCCTTCCAGATTTTTTTTCTTTGCTTTTGTGTTACCTTTGACCCCCCGGCCCATTGTGCGGGCTCTCATTTGGGGAAACTCCTGATTTCTAAACTTGTCAGTCGAGTCTTTCCTGATTAGTGTATCTGGTGTAGTGCAGGACCTGTCACCAAGCAGAACCACCCACCCCTCCAGCCTCTCTACCAGGCAACGGCACAATTGTTGATCCCTGAAAAAAAAAGCTTGAAGCTTGGAAAAAAAATTAATACATACATACATACATACAATGTATATATATTGTGTGTGTGTGTGTGTGTGTGTGTGTGTATATGTGTATATATATATATATAACAGGTGAAACTATGTACAAAGTATTTACAAAATTGCAACAGTTTCAGGAAAAAAAACAGCCAGCCCTTCCTCAAGCTGGAAGCACCATTAATGATCAATCAGACATGGATCAATTGTGTTTCTTGGCTGAGGAAAGGCTACCTTTGCTCTTACTTTACCCAAAACTGTTGTGTGTCTCTCTCTCTCGCTGATGCTTGCTCTCTCCCGCTCTCCTCTCCCGCTCCCTTTTTGTTCTCCTCTCCCGCTCCCTTTTTGTTCTCCTCTCCCGCTCCCTTTTTGTTCTCCTCTCCCGCTCCCTTTTTGTTCTCATTAATGTATATCCATACTTAATATGGTTCACAGATTTTTCTCTCTCACATTCTGTATATAAGATGCCATAACATTCTTTTGCAGTGGAAACCAGCTTACTTTAGATAAGGTCTGGAAATGTTTCTAAGAAATATATGTTTATTAGGGTTATTTTCTTCTAATGGATTCTGATTCTGGTCTCTCTCACCCTGTTATCTCCATTGGCCCGGCTTCCCTTCCTTCCACTCCGTCTGGGGTCTCAGCCACTAAGCCATTGTTATATCCTGACAGGTCTGCAGTTTTCTACCAGAGAAGAGTTGATGGACAAGGGTCCTGCGCTGGGCACACATGCTGCTCTCTTTCTGAAAATGCTTGTTACCTGGCTTTCATGCTGATC